CATACACGTTTCCGCATCACTTCTTCAAGATCATGTTTGTACTTAAACACGAACTGAAAAATGGTTTTAGATAACGCAATCCCTTTTACTCTGTCATACACTTGCCACTTCCTTGGCATATCTAGAATCAAATCGCTAATCCTCTGCTTCTCAGGGTTCAGAGTTCTACCCATGATACTCATCTTGTTCCTCTCCAGAGCACTGAACTGAGGTAAATCTGGTAGGTTGAATGGCACTTCCTCCTGCTCCAGTGACATAGATTCAAAAACCTTGTCAATATTCATACTGAATATGACGAAGTTAAGAAAAAAGCTTGTTGTTCTTCAGCCAAAACCTAGTGTTCAAAGGCGGCGACTGGAAAACCCTAGACAAACCTAATAAAAACACGATATTCTCTTAAATCTTCACCCAAATAATAGTGATTTTCTGTTTGTGTAACCCGCAAAAGAGGAAAAAATCCTTCCGGAGAGCCCTACTTTCCTTATCAAGAATATTCTCTTGAGAGAAAGAGAGAACAAAAGCCCAAAAAAGGGAGTCAAAGCATTATGAAACTATATTTATCTAGTTAATAAATGAGTTCATTTAAATTATAAAGTATTTTCATAGTTAAAGAAATATAAGTGATATATGTGTTTTTAGCATATTGTAACAATGTTTTCTAAAGTGTTTTGGGTTTTTATCGAGTCTTTTTAGCCATTTTCAAATCATTACAGGTTTGGAGTTGCACTGGATGGGAGATGGACTAGTTGGAACGAAAGAGGTAGAAAACAGTGCAATTTGGTGATTTCACGCAGAACAGTCTGAAGTGACTGTTCTGATCGAGCGGAGCAACCTGAGTGTATGTTCCTGCGACATAGATTTTTATGGAAACCCTTATTATTTTGGGATCTGCCCTAATCTCTCTATTTTTCTCTCCTAGTCGCATGTGGTTTTGATATATCTTCCTTTTCTTTTTCTTTTGAGATACTACGTTATTTTATACACAAAAACCAGACCTTAGAGTTTTTGGAGATTTTCTAGTTTGTAGGGAGAAGGCCAACTCTCTCAATTCAGAGAAGAACCTCCTAAATCTCTCTTTGTTTCTGTTATTATTATGCATTATTATTCAGTATTGATGCTTGAGTTTTCCTATGTCATGGCTGAGTAGTAGATCTTGTTAGCTTAGGGTGTTAGGGTGTTAGATCACGAGCTAAACATAGATAGGTTGATATTTTAGTTGTCTTCATTCATTACAGCTCTTACTGCTTATGCTAAACTACTGATTTAGTGTATGAATCTAAGCTTAATATATTCATCAAAAGTGTTATAGGTTTCTAGACATTGAATGAATGAGCATTGCATCTCTAGCCAGTGAAAGTAGATGTTAGGGTATTTTGTGAACATATCAGACTTGTACTTAATGTTTGTCATCGCGTCTCAGTCCAAACGCAGTTTAGGTGCTGAGATCAATTGACAAAAAGTGAAGCTCCACGACAGTGGGCTGATCTACTTGTAGTGTTCTAAGTTCTAGTCTTGTGCTTAATAAAATCTGAATAATTGTTTGGCTCGTGGCTGTGAACACCCGAATAAACCACCCTAGGCTAGCTCTTTTAAACCTTGAAAACCTTAAAATCAATTTATTACTTGCTTGTTACAATTCCTCAAACCAAAAATCCCCATATTGTTTTAGCTTGTTATTGATCCCATAGGAATAAAGTGTAATAGTTGGTCTCTGTGAATTCGATCCTAAAGTGCTACATCGACATACCATTCGATTGTGATAGTGTGCACATTAGATTAATTGGTATGCGTATACACGTAATATCAATAAGGGAGAACCAAAAATTGTTAGTTTAATGAAAATGTTCAATAACTTTTCATAAGTAGATTTTTTTTTAGAAATGATTCTCTTTTAATAGTATATTTTAAATATATTTTTGGTATTACAAATATTTTTTATGTTTCGGGTTTGGTTTCGGTATGGTTTTGGCTTTCGCCTAAAATTTCAAATTTAAAAATATATTTTAGATATTCGAATAAAACAAAATTGGTATTTTTTGGTTCCTATGTATTTGTTTGAGTTTTAAATTATTTTTAAGCTTTTCAGATACTTAGAATTTTTTCGAGGATACTAAATACCCGAACTAAACCCGGATCCATTACGTATTTTAAAATTACATATATTTTATAAGTATTCAAATTATGGACCTGAATCGACGTTTGCGAAAGGAACCGACCCAAACCTGACCCAAAAATGTTCATATGCCTATTTAGGTCTAAATGTTTAGGATCCAAAGAATTCATACCCGAAAAGAACCAACATGTACCTGACTCCAAGACCCTAATGCTCATGACTAAATTATTTTTAAGGAAATATCTCATCCCTTAGTTATTATTTGAGAAGTGATTTTGAGAGAAAAAGATGACATGATAACAAATATGACATGGTTTGATGTTAATTATGACATAGACATTTACATTAACTGTTATTTTGTATTTTGGTAAGTTTATAAAATATGGTAATACATAACCCGTAAATAATCATTAATATAATAATAAATAATCTAATAGTAAACTAAATAGAATAACATTTTACAATTTTTGAAATATTCTAAATTTATTTTTATAATTTATATATTTTTATTTCTGAAACAAATTTAAAATATATATATATATAATTTTCTAATCCATTACCATGAGCTTCTTTTAAATATCTACAAATTTTAGAAATATTATTTAGTTTTAAGTTTTGATAATTATATACCTAACAAAATAATAATTTTATATAATTTATTTAATATATTTGAAAGAAAAGCAATATATAAAAATATTTAGATCATAGTTTTAAATATATACATATATATTATTAAATGTAAATTTAAATAAAAATTATATTTTATCTTAACTTTTATATATAAATTAAAATTAAAATACTGTACGAAAATATTAAAATCTAAAAATAAACAAACATTTATTGATAATATGATTTAATTTTAAAAAAAAAAATTATTCATGCACATGATGCAGGAAAACATCTAGTATACCTTATTTCAGAAAAGTGATTTTGCCACATATTTTCTCTACAATCATTTTCACAAAATAATGTGACATGGCTACTAAAATTGATGACGTGGCTTATAGCTTAATATGACATGAACAATTACATTTAATGTTAATTTATATTTTTGGTAAAAATTTTAAACTATGGTAATAACTCATATATTACATTTAATTTCGATTTATATTTTTGGAACTTTTTTTAGAATATAGTAATAATTCATAAATCATCACTAAAATAAATATATTCAAATATGGAATTACAAATTTAGAAATATCATTTAATTGTATATTTTTAGATTATACAATTTTATTACTAAAACTTTCAAAAATGTATACAACTTTTTAGAAAGTTATAAAAATTTAATTGTAAAATATTAATTTCTTATATATCTACAAATTTTATAAATTCATATTTTTAATTTTATTTTTTTCCATTTTAAGTTTTGATAGTTCTGCAAATATTTTCTAAATTTACTTAATATTTTAATTAAATAAATAGATAGACAAAACTATCTAAGATTATTATTCTATATATATACATGCATATTCTTATATAATTTAAAATAAACAAAAGTATTTTTATTTTATTTTTTATGTTTAATGAAATAAAAATTATACTATAATGATAAGAGAAGAAAATTTTACAATAGTAAGTATAATTTATATTTATCTTTTAAAAAAAAAAAAATTTTTATTGCACATGGTGCAGGAAAACACTTAGTAAAACAATATATTGTTGCGAAAATTAAGGTAAGACCATAATATTATTAGTTCTTAATGAAAGGGTGTAACAACTTTGTTTAAGAACCGTTTGAGCGGAAAAACTTGTTTAAGTAGATTTACTATTTTTGGATTATAATCTAAATTTTATGCGATTAGTATTTTGAGATTATACATTATTAAGCATCTTTTATAATAATCATTATTTGTTTCCCCAAAAAAAGTACTAATCATTGTTTTGAGCATCTTTTATAATAATCATTATTTGTTGTCCCAAAAAAGTACTAATCATTATTTTGAATTTTAGTAATTACTCTTTAAATTAGATGTTTTCCTACACCATGTGCAAAAATAAAAGTCTTAAAAATAAAATTATGTTAAAAATAAAATTTAAAGTAATCATAAATGCAGCTTAAGAATGAAATACCAAAGTAGGCGAAATAAAATTATGATTGTGAAAACCTTTTATAGAATCTGATACAATAAAACCTCTATAAATTAACAATGTTGGAATTTTGAATTTTTATTAATAGTTTAGATTTTTATTTTAAGATATATTTATTTTAAGATAAGAAAAACATTAATTTTAATGTATAAACATTAATCATTATTTTTAAAAAACATTTGACATATATCTTAATTTTATTATATTATTTGGTGTATATAATATATATAACATAAAATTTAAATGTGATTTTAGATATATACTACTAAATCTCATCAAAAATATATTATGTGTTAAAAAATATAAAGATAATTCTATTGTGAATATACAACAAATAGTATAATAATAGGTTCTTATTTATATAAAATATGTATATATAGAAATTATTAATTTTATAATTTTAATAGGATTATCTATTTACATAAATTTTATAAAAAAATATTATTTTATTAATTTATGTCAAATTTTCAACCGATTCAAATTGAGACTGGCAAAATTTGTCAATTTATAAAAATTATTATTTTATGAAATATTAATTTATAGAAGTACTGTAACACTGTAACTAGATTTGCTTACACTGATTTAAGTTTTGTTTGTGATAAGATGATAAAAAAAACTTTTACATGACGATATAACCTACGGACAGACGCAAACACACAAAAAAAGTAGATTAGCTTTCAAGATTTCTTACAGTTTATAGGTTTTTTTCTTTAAATTATAAAACGGGGCCCTGGTGTCAAGCACTTTCAAGTAGTGAATGAAATGTTATCTTCTTCTTCAATCTTATTGGGCCCCCCTTTCATCCCCTCTCTGTCTCTCTCCCACAAGTCATCGAATCTTGTCCCTTTGCTCCTCTGCGTTTTCTTACATCTATACTTCATACCCATTTCCTGTTTCACCGTCTCTGCTTCTCTACTAACTCTCTCTTCCTTCTCAAGAAAGAGTTTCGATTTTCTGTATATAGGTCTCTGCTCTTGGTGTGGTTGGTGTTTGATATCGTTTTTCTTTGATCGGTGAGATCTAATCCTAGCCAGTGGATATTAGCTGCAGCCTGTTTCACGTGGGTAGCTATTTCAGTTCTGTGAGATTATTAGGGTTTAGGTGATGAAGAGAGAGGAGAAGATACTGGAACCTATGTTTCCTCGACTTCATGTGAACGATGCTGACAAAGGAGGAGGACCTCGAGCTCCTCCTAGAAACAAGATGGCTCTCTATGAGCAGCTTACCATCCCTTCTCAGAGATTTACTGATCATGGTTCCTTGCCACGTAACACCAACACTTTGTTTCCGTCTAACCAGGTATTGACGTATTGTTCACTTTAGTAAAAGTTTTTTTTAATGAGTTTGGAGTTTTGGAAAACTGATGTTTATTTAAGCTTGTAACAAAGTGTAGGATTCTTGCTGTTGTGTATTACAATGTTTCAGTGTTTTTTTTTTGTTTGTGGATTGAACTGATGGGATTCAATTTCTCTTGCACTAACCAGAGTTTTAGTAGACATAAAATCTATCCTAGTGTGAATGATCTTTTAAAGCTAAAGTTCTTGTTGTGCTTAATATAAGATTATAGTGTTGGAAGACATTTATGTGGGACATTGGAAATAATAATACCTTTTTTTATCCTGCAGCCTTGTGGCGTGGAAAGAAACTTGTCTCCGCAGCATCTTGATTCTTCAGCTTCTAGCCATGTAACCCAAACGTCCTTCATGGAAAACGTGACAACAACTTTAGCACATCGTCGCCATCAAAGGAAAACGCTAAGAGAGGAAGATGATTTTGCGGTTCCAGTATATACTAATAATAGCTCAAGAAGATTTGGTAGAACCAAGAGTGGGACTAAGAAGGAAAAACGCACTACATTGGTTACAGAGGAATTGGATCTTGAAAAATCAGCATCGAGTTTTGAAAGAGTAAATGATTATAATGCTTCCTTTAGACAAGAGTCTAGAAGTAGGTTAGACCGAGATATGGATGAAACTCATAATGGAGTTGAATCTCATGACAATCTTAATGAGATCGATAATGTTGGTGGGCACTGCAGAAGTGGAAAATACGTCTCTATGCAGCATATAAATGAAGAGGCATGTGATGATGACTTAATGGGTTCTTCTTTATCCAGCGTAGTAGACGTCTCTCCTGATGAAGTTGTGGGAGTGTTAGGTCAAAAACGTTTCTGGAGAGCAAGGAAAGCTATTGCCGAGTAAGTTCACTAGACTTTGATGATCTTGGTTATATATTTTGCTTCTACCCATCTCTTTCTCTGCTGTTTTTAATGCTTAAATGATGCATTGGTTTACTGACATACCTATATGATTATAACTCGGTTTTATATTTTGAGAGAGAAGATTCTGGTTTATTTTTGATTGAGAAGTGATGGTTCTATAGTGAAGAGGCTCCTGATCCCTCCAAAAACATATCCTAATATATGGTAGTTGAAGAGTCCTCTCATTTTAACGCATTGGATCGTGTTAGCAGGGGGAAAGGTTCTCTGTTGACGCCGAGACAGTTCATGGATTTAGAATGTGTCTTCTTTGCATCTGCTTGTTGGAACATGTCCCTGTCTCGGTTTGGTATTTGCTTTTATTTTTCATTTCTCCCTTCTTGTTATTCAAAGGGTTGAACCAGGTAGGGAAACTTGCTTTTTTGAGGACCTCGGGATCTAAATTTTAGTTAACCCATACATAAACCTAGTTATGTGTCTTATGAAAATGCAGAATTGGAGTTTCTATGGATTTTAGACTCTGCTACTCAGGTTTTAAGGTTTTATGTATTTCTTATTGCTATGGTAAGGTATCAGGTAAGCTAGATATCAGTAAAACCCATCCCCTGCATATAATGTCTTCAGCTTTTTTTTCTTGTGATATTTATGCCTTAATCTGTGTGTTTATTGACGCATTGATTTGCTTCTTCATCATTGTTGGTTAGTGGCTTCTTTACTGTTCTGTTACCTGTTCAACAGAAACTACTTCTCTCTTTGTAGAACTTCTTATGTGTCAACTTCTTGATATGACCATGTTTCTCCTTACAGTCAACAAAGAATATTTGCGGTTCAACTATTTGAGTTGCACAGACTAATTAAGGTAAGTTCATTCAGAAAACTTCTAGTTTCATGAATATTTGTTTTGTTCTGTTTTGGGCTGAAACAAACGTTACTTTGTTTCCATAATAATAATAATCAGGTTCAAAGACTTATTGCTTCATCATCGGATGTCTTGCTGGATGAGATCAGTTATCTTGGAAAAGTTTCTGCTAAAAGCTTTCCAGTTAAGAAGCTTATAGTAAAGTCTCTGCTACCACACGCTACCAAACACAGAAGCAGCGACTCAGACAAGACTGACCAACATAAAATGGAATGCTCAGCTGAGAACGTAGTTGGGAAGCTGTCAAATCAACCGTCCAACCACATGCCGTTTGCGACCAACCAAGCCGCTGTAAATGGATGTTACTATCCTCCTCAGCCTCAGCCTCAGCCTCAGCCTCCTCCTTCGTCTGGAGGAAATCAGCAATGGTTGATCCCTGTAATGTCTCCTTCCGAAGGGCTAATATACAAGCCTCACCCAGGTCCAGGACACACAGGGCCGGCCTATGGAGGTTATTATGGTCATTTTATGCCTGCACCGATGGTCATGGGTAATGGCTACTTCCCTCCTTATGGTATAATGCCAACCATGATGAACTCTTACGGTTCAGGCCAACAACAACAACAGCCCAATGAGCAAATAAATCAGTTTGTGCATCCTGGTAACCTTCAGTACGCATCATCTGTGAACACGCAACAACAGAGCTCCGTGAATGAAGAGATCTCACAACAACAGCCAACAAAATCTTATCCTAGGGCTAGAAAGAGCAGGCAAAGGAGCATAGGAAGCAGTCCAAGTGGTCCAGAGGGTGATGATGACAACAATGAGCCTGAGCAAATGATGACGACAACCACCACAACAACAAGAACAACTGTTACTCAGACAACAAGGGATGGAGGTGGGGTGACGAGAGTGATAAAGGTTGTTCCGCACAACGCCAAGCTGGCGAGTGAGAATGCTGCTAGGATTTTCCGGTCGATACAAGAAGAACGTAAACACTACGACTCCTTTTCTAACCACTCTTAAGCTTTCTCTTTTTCTTGTTCATAGTCGTAATTTGTGTTTGCTGACACTATATGTATGAGTAGAAACACATACGTCTATCATATGGCTTTTTCCCTTATCTTCTGTTCACATTTTCTTGATATTTTGTGCTTTTGCCACATATTTTTTTGGTGTATTTTTATGAATACTTGAAATTAGAGAAACATGTCCAAAACATTGACATGTGTTTATATCACTGTGCAATTAAATAATTAAATATTAAAAATGCATTATATGCTACATATATAGAGTGTGATTGGTAAAAGTAGAGTAATTGAGAGTAAAGCCATCAGCATATATATATAGAGTTGTTTTTGAGGTATGTACCTCAAAAAAATACTAATAAAGAACGTAAAAGTTAGAAAAGGGAAGGTAATTAGTGAAAAAATCGATCTTTTAATTCCCAAGCTTATTCTGAAGAATAATTTTCTAAGTATTAGTTTTCTACTAGTTCATTTTTTTAAAAAAATCATTAATTTTAACTTGCATTTACAAATATTAATAAAATAATTTTTAAATAATCAGCTTGAGAAACTGATCACCAAAAATGTTCTAATAAAATTTGAACTAAATGAGTAGGGAGATAAATAAAGTGAATGATCTGGAGTAAACTTTTTGTCAATAAAAAAAGGAGAAAATTTTTATCAATAAATTCACAAAAAGACATTTGGTATTTTTACTCTATAAACATTTGCTCTATGTCAGTTTATATATTTTTTTATCTTGATTGGATTTTGTCAGCCACCTTGATTGGATTTACTCTAGCACAACTTAGCTAAATACTTTTTTCACTCCAATATTTTTACTCTAAAATATTTTTACAATCACACTCATAGTTATTTGGTAAAATCATATATCAGCTGTACAATTTTGTTGATATCGATATTAAATTTATATTAGTCTTAGTTTAAAAAGTAGTTATTTTTTATATGGTTTGGATTTCATCCTATAAAATGTAGAAGCTAGAGTGTTTAAAAAAAATGTAGAAGCTTTAGATATATAAAAAAAGTAAAAATTGTTTTTAAAATAAAAGAATTTAAACAAAGTTCATAGTGTGAACGAACTTCTGAGACATGCCTAGCTGAAAAGCTAATAACATCCAAAATTGTAGTTGAATAAATAATATAAAAGACACTTAAACTTGAACGCACACAAAATCATACTATATTAGAATTGATAAAGTTGCAGCTGAAGCAGACTTATTGGCTGGAATTAATTATTTTTCTTGCTATGCCGAGGAACTAAGCGGCCCCTGTTAAGCTGCCTAGGTTGAAGGTCATCAGACATGGCCGACGGTATTTTGAGGTCTTTCAAGATTGTAGAAGTGGCTTTTCTTGCCCACTTATTATTTAGGATGAGAACCTTTTCGTTTTCCAAATCCAGCCTCAAAAACCCTGTGCAACACTCCTCTATGACTTGACATAGATGCTTCAGATTATCCACTTCAATTCCATTCACTTTCTTCACCTATTTCCATTTCCAATGTATTTATACTTTTATTCAGATGATACTATTCTAGTAAACTAAGATTTAATTTCTGATTTTACCAAAAAGAAAAAAAGAAAATTTCTGTTTTGAAATAATCTTCAGTATAATCTTGAGTAAGAGTAAGCAATAGATACATTACCTGCAAATCTTCAAAACTGGCGTATCCTGCATTGATGTCATCCTCTAAGATCTATAGCAGGAAACAAAACTTTACTTACAACTGAAAACTCATTCATTCTAAATGATTCAAAGCCTGCTTCACAGGGTTATGTTTTTATACAGTAAATCTTAGAAAAGGGATGTATAAAAAAGGACAAACCTGAGAAATGATTACTATCTGTTCACTGGCTGTCTTGGGCATCTTTTTGGAAGGACAATCGCACAAATAATAAGAGCTGTCAATGTATGGTTGAGATAGAGGTACAAAAAGAAAACCCCCGTATATATAGTAACTTCGCAGCTTGTCAAAATTATGCAATGGAACTAGTGGTTTGACCTGCGCACAATAGATAACCATAACCTTTATTCACATGATAGTGTCTACAAAAATGTGAACCACCAATTAAACTATAGAGATGTCACAGACAAAACTGTTGGTTAAAATGTGAAGGAATGACTTACAGGTTTTAGTCCGACATTGAACTCATACTCTTTTCCCTCTCTTAAGACTTTGATTAAAGCTGTTTCAGATGGCTTCTTCATAGAGACCAAATGCTTGAAAGTTACTGTGTCCTGGTTAAGAAACGGAACTGTACACATGGGGAAGGTTCAGTAAAACACAGTGATAATGGAAAAATATATATATATATATATAGAGAGAACTAGTACCTTTACTATCATTTCCTATAGAAACACCATCAATGGCGAGAATGACATCATCCTTTTTTAGAAAGTTGTAAGCATCGGACAGCGGGTTTATTTCGTTTACAAGAATCCCTGTCATATCTTTGCTCATCTTAAAATAGTCACGAAGTTGGGCATTCACCATCGTCTGATATGATAAATTCATAGAGCCGAAACTAACATGTTTTTCTTCAACACCAGCTAAAAAGTGTTTTACTACTGGAGTTGGAATCATGTAGCTGCAGGCGAACAAAATATAATAATATTGTTAGTTAAACTTTTTTATTAGTAAGGTCAAGGAAAATATATACATACAAAACTAGAAATTTGAAATATAGTTAAGCTTATTAGGAATAGACTGTTAGATAATTCAATGTTGAAATCTGCAATTGGACTCACCCAATACCATCGGACCAGAACAAACCTTCAAACGCAACACCAGCCACTTTGTTTCCCAAAAATACAGGACCACCACTATTTCCAGAATTGATTGCTGCATCTATTTGTATTGTGAGTAGCTCTGTTGAGCTGTGACTATATTCTTTTAGTTCAACTCTCGACACCACACCTTTTGTAACGGATATACTGTCACCACCTGCATCATAATCATGTAAATTTACATGCATAGCGTTCCTACATTTATTACTTCTCGAAATATTTTATACTGATCAGTAGGATAGTCTAAAATATAAAGGAAAGAATTACCACAAGGATAGCCAACAAGGTGCACCTCTTCTTGCAGCTTGGGTACGTCTCCAAGCTCCAAGAAGTTCATTCCATCCCAAAACTCATCGCTATCGACCTCCAAGATGGCTAAATCACATTCATGCCCAATCATCCGAACTTTTGCTTTGTACTTGGTGGCTGAACCGTGCTTTTTTACTTTAACTGATGTGTGATTAGCCACCACATGCGCATTTGTAATAATCTTCTTTCCCGAGATTAAAAATCCTACAACAAACCAACTCAAGTTTATTATTACATGATACAGTTAGAAGTCTTGATCAATTAATGTGAGTTTTTGTAATATATAAAATAAATTTGTAATAAATACCAGAGCCAGAGCATTCATTCTGCATACTAATCTGCCAAGGTTGAAAAAGTCTAGGCTTGCTAGAGACAGTGAAGACCTTAACAACTGAGTTAAGAGCTAAATCAATAGCAGAAGGAGTTGTCTTTTTTGCTTCTTCCACACTAGATTCTTCTTTCTCTTGATGAGTAACCGAAGGAGTTGTGTTGTTCACTTCATTCACACTAGATTCTTCTTTCTCTTGTTGAATAAGTCCATTCTTCCAAAGTTGAAAGATGCTAGAGAACGAAAAATTCTTCACCGCCGAGGTTATCTTATTTTGTGAAGTGTCAGATGGTGCGGGGGTTGATGTGTTGGAAGAAAAACAGCGCAAATTAGAAGATGAGACATATCTCAGCGTTGCAGTATTCTGGGCAGAATTGTTACGAACAACAAGGCATCGAGGAACAAGACCGCTCGAGTTGCTGCAGAACCTGGACACGGTACAGACAGAGCGGAACATCTTGAGCAGTTGATACTTGATAGTAACGTTTAGCTATAACAAGAGGGTTTAAGCAATCTCGAGTAGGTTTTGTATGATTAACTTGTACAAACCGGTAGCAAAATATAGCTAAGGAACATTCCATAACGTTTTTACCAAAAGAAAAACATCCCATAACGTAATTAATTTCTTTCCATTTCCACCAATAAAATATGGTTTATTTCTGTTCCTTGATGGTCACACATATTTTTACTTGTTACGAGTATTACTGATTTCCATTATAAAAAGTCATAAATTTACTTGTTTCGCTATTTTACTTATTTTCCAATCTTACTTAAATATATATGGTAATCCATATAAATCAATAAAAATCTAGGAAACATATAAAAACTATTTATTAAATCTACTTAACTTTTAAAAATCACTCAACTTTTGAAATTATCAAATTCCACACAAATTTTGGATCCAATAACCCTTAATCCTCAAGCTATTATATTAGGAAGACGTGTTGGTTTGATTGTCATCGTACATATCTCTCCCTTACTCATCTGTACTGAAGAAACAAGATATTGTTAAGTCACAAAAGAGTTTTCATACACAGTCATCCTCCATATTTAAGTAGAGAATGAATTGAAGCGCAAATTGATTATTATGATGCTCAGAAAACTGTTCATCGTGGAGGAAACTGACATGTTCCTGGAAATATATCTGATGAGTATGTGGTCACTCACAATTAGCACAAGAATAATATATTTTGGGAACTGCCTCACTGGAATGACATTCTTTAGCGCACAATCTCGATGTGATGCACATAAAGAAATTTTTTTTTAACAACATCATGAATACAATATTGAACGTCCAAGGAAGACAAAAGACAGTAAAATGCCTAGGTTGGACTTACCGAATATTTTCTCAAGACGTGAGTTAGATATCAAGAGCAATAGAAATGTTTCAGTTACCCAAAACATTTTCTGTAGTCATTTTTTTTAACACTGGATTGTATTATTAAGCCATTTAGGCAAATAGTTCTTAACAATGAAAACCAACAAAACAAACATAGAAAACAGATACACCAGTAGGGATCCAAAGTAAGCTAACACATCTTTGCGTATGGATAACTAAAGATTTTCATGTAAAAGCTCCAAATTTGCTTCTATAATAACTGAATCGCAAAAGAGATAATCTTCAACTTAATCTAGAAACACTACGCTTCAGACTTTGTTGAGAACGATTGCTACTTTTTTTTATCACTCCACTAGGAGACAATTAGAGAAGACAACTCTTTATATTGCTCTGATAATAATATAGTCAAAGAGATTACAGTTGCATAGAATTTTCTGCTGACTTACGAAGTAACCATAATTTGCAGCAATAACTCCATCACCATCAAGTGAAGAACCATCAACGATTGAAGCCGGTAAAACCCGTCGTCACCATCCACAGTAAATATGTCAATTACCTTTTCTAAACGATTCAACTGAACCGAAGTTTTTGTTTTTCCAAATTTATTAGAAGAATCATACAAAAGAACAATCCAAATCTTTGGCAGATTCAAAATAAATTGGCAAACAAACAAATAAAATAACCAGAAAGAAAGAAAATCAAAGAGATAAAAGTAAAATGAATTGAACAAGCCGATGTCGGAGCTATAGAAGCCACTGGCCATCGGCTTGAAACAAAAAAAAAACTCTATTTTTCTCTCTTGTGTCTATTTTCTATAGTCTTCTTTGTGGTTTAGGGTTTCATTTCGTAATTATTTTTATCACTATCAACTTTTTGTATTTTGACAAGAACTAAAAGAGATTCTGGTGTTTACAGCTTATTAGGTTTTCTTATTTCCGGTCGTGTTATATTGTTTTAATTATTTTGGAAACTTCTCTTTCATTTTTCTTTTCAAAATGTTCCACCACCAAAAAGATGTAGCTAAACAATGATGATTTTTTGTTTGATTCAGAATTACAGTGTAGACTATATTTCAATAAAATCTTTACAGCTTTAGAAACTCAGAATTATTGACCGTTTATTATTTGGCCACTTGAATCAAGGAGAATTTGATTAAAAAGGTTTTCAGTTCAAGTGGTTTTGACCATTTTTCATATTTAAAACTGATTATCAAAGTTCTGAGATGGATTCCATGATAAGCACCTGAAATCAGTAGTCATACTGGTTCATTTTTTAACCAAGTGCAATTTGACAGGTCTATGACTTTATATACAAGTATTTCAAGATTTTCTATCATGTTTCGTTAGCTTTTGTTATAGCCTTTCATTTTGTGTCTTGACTTTAATTTGTGATTTATTTACTCTTCATGACCATCACATGATTATCAGGTTTTGTAACATCCATCTAAATTTTATTAGCGGTGAGTTATAATTTTCTTATAAATAATATAGGCTTATTTAATTAATATTAAAAATATAATCTCTAGATTTTCATGATTTTTAATATTAAAGATGTTTTCACATAAATTTTTCAAGGCTTTACGATTTTCCTAAACGACCAAATTAATATTATCTTCACTGTTAAATTTGAAAAGCAATTCATAACTCATGTATAATCATTATGTTTTGATACGTTGATTATTTTCTTAAAAACTATTTGCACACATACACAAACTACAAAATAGTTAATGTAACAAATACATGAAGTCAAAATTACTACAGTTTAATAGAAAACAAAATAATACTTTCTTCAATTTATATGTTAATATCAAAATACATTTTAGTCATTTATGCACCAGAATATCTGCCATCCAGTACAAATTTTCTGATTAAATCTGCTATAATCACAGTAACAAGCATAGCCTTTACAGTCTAACATATATCTTCTCTTTCTAATACAATGATGTGCACATTCCTGACAAAATCCAACAGGATTACCGGCAGCCTGAGGCATAATTTTTCATCGTAAAGTATATTATTTTTTGTTTGGATATCAAGTCGAGGGCGCATTGCTTGACTTGAAATATAAGTTTTATCTTCACAATAGATTTTTGCCAAAATATTTGAGGTTCCTAAAAAGTTTTCAATCATACAGAGAGGGTTATTAGATATTAATTTAAACTAATAAAAACTCTAAAATGTAACATATTATTATTGCAATGAAAATAAACTTACATGAAAAAGAAATGACTAGCAGAGTTGTAAACAAAACACTAGATTCCATCCTTCTAGAAAGTATTAGGATAACCGATTTTGATTTCTCTTAGGTTTATACGTTGTTGTGATGCTTAAATAGTTTGATGCCTTCCTATTTATAAATGTTTTCACAAATGTTACAAAAGTGTAATATTTTAAATTACAGTTTGTGATATTAAAAAACAAAAAGAAATTACTAATTTTTAGATACTACTACGAAACTATATGGAATTGCAGTTACATGTGTAACCATGTTGTCAAATATTAAAAGACTGTAATAATATTGTGTAATGCTCAAATATTTGTACACATAATATAAATGACTAGAATTATCTGATGAAATTAAAAGTGTGAATATGTATAGTTTACAAGGATTTATGATAAATATCAAAAGCTTAAAGTGATGTTCTGAATAATGTAAAATATAATGACCATATTGCAAACAAATAAAAAGACTTTATTTTTCATGAAGTACATCAATTCAATTTGAAGCTTAACATATGTGTTTTCCAACAAAATATTTGATATTTATGATTGTTAAACGCTCTCCAAAACATCTTTTACAGCCTCCTTTGTGGTTTAGCGTTTCATTTCATAATTTTTTTTATCACTGTCACCTCTTTTGTATTTTGACAAGAACTAAACGAGATTTTGGTGTCTACAGCTTATTATTTTTTTCCAAAATTCCGGTCGTATTATAGTTTGTTTTAATTTTTTTTTGTAAATTTCACTTTTTTCTTTCAAAATATTCCACCACCAGAAAGATGTAGCTAACAATGATGATTTTTTTTATTCAGAGTGTAAACTATATTTCTGTAAAGTCTATACAGTTCTAGAAACTCAACAGCTTTGAACGTTTATTATTCGGCCACTGGAATCAAGGAAAAGTTTATCAACCATGTTTTTGGTTCAAGTGGTTTTGGCCATTTTTCATATTTAAAACCGAGTATCAAAGTTTTAAGACGGGTTTCACACTAGTATGTGGCACAATGATAAGCACCTGAACTCAGTAGTCAGAGTGGAAAAGTTTCATTTTTTAATCAGGTGCAATTTAACAGGTCTATGACTTTATATACCAGTATTTCAAGATGTATTACTATGTTTCGTTGGCTTTTGTTAGAGCCTTTCATTTGGTGTCTTGACATTAATTTTTGGAGGGTCTGTTGATTATTTGTGATTTATTTACTATTCATGAGAATAACAAGGTTATCATTGTTGGTAACATCCATCTAAATTTTATCACGGTGAGTTATAATTTTCCTATAAATAATATAGGCTTATTTTATTAATATTAAAAATATAATCTATACAAGATTTCAGACTTGTAGGCTCTAGATTTTTCATGATTTTTAATATAAAGACTGTTTTCATATGAGTTTTTTCAGGCTGTAAAATTTTCCTAAAGGGCCAAATTAATATTATCTTCACTGTTAAATCTGAAAAAAAAATTCTTAACTCATGTATAATCACTATGTTTTGATACGTTGATTATTTTCTTAAAAACTGTTTGCACACATACACAAACTCAAAATAGTTAATGTAACAAATACATGAAGTCAAAATTACTACAGTTTAATAGAAAATAAAATAATACTTTCTTCAATTTATATGTGAATATCAAAATACATTTTAGTCATTTATGCACCAGAATATCTGCCATCCTGTACAAATTTTCTGATTAAATCTGCTATAATCACAGTAACAAGCATAGCCTTTACAGTCTAACATATATCTTCTCTTTCTAATACAATGATGTGCACATTCTTGACAAAATCCAACAGGATTACCGGCAGCCTGAGGCATTATTTTTTCATCGTAAAGTATATTATTTTTTGTTTGGATATCAAGTCGAGGGCGCATTTCTTGACTTGAAATATATGTTTT